GGGTCTAAGGTTTAGGATGTAGGGTTTAGGGCTGCGGCTTTTTGGGTTGGTGTTCAGAGCTTTTTGAGGTTGTGGGCTTGGGGCCCGTGGGTAAGACATTCACCGTTCTGGGTTCAGGGTTCCACCTTCAAGGCAAAGACGAACTGGGAAAAAGTAGTGTTCAAGCCGTTCTGACCCTTCCAGAATGCAACCACTAGCCACCGGGATTTAAGTACCTGCAGCTCCTATGCGAAACCAGACTAAACTCAAATCTGCGGCCCCAAACCCTGAACCCAACTTCCCTAAACCCTAAACCCGAAACTTAACACCCCCAAACCCAAGCTCGACATCCTAAACCCTAGCCCTTCACCCAAAACCCTACATCCTCTGCTGTACCAGTCGCTTAGGGGCCGAGTACCTTAGCCCAAAAAAGCTTAACCCTTTGAATTTTTATCAGGTTTAAACAAGCCCCAATAAGTTAAAGGTTACATACTCAGCCCCTTAAGGAGTGGAGACAAGAAGCTTGCCGAGGTAGTTCGTGATGATCGGCTGAGCCAGGGAGATGTCGCCGGAGCCGCCACCGCCACCTCCGCCGGTGATCTCCTCGCGGCGAGAGGGGTCTGTACGGTATGTGTGTAGACACACACACACACATATATATATATAGAGAGAGAGAGAGAGAGCGAGAGAGAGGGAGAGAGCTTTACAGGAATGTACAGGGATTCTGGTATTGAAAATACGGCCCTTAATTGTCAGAATGGGGTTGCGGAGCTTTTTTTACTGTAGAGCGACACAAAGAGTATGACAGAATAAGGGAACACTTGCAGCCACTAGCACGCAGCATTCAAAACTCAGTATCGCACCTTCAAGTGAAAATTCACGGATACCAAGGACTCGGTATGTGTCGCACTCATGAAACCTTATGTCAACAGGGAGATGATGATACCCTAAACCCCCAGGTATCTACTATATAGGGCACTAGATCCCCTAAGGCCCTATATAGTAGGCACCTGGAGGGTTAGGGATAATGATGATGACAACGGCGGGGACGTTGCTGACGCAAGTGTGGCGATAGCGATGCCCATGCGGGGTGTCCTGGATCGTCTTGAAGATGCTGATGCCCTGATTCGTGAGGAAGCCAATCTCAGCGTTGGGGTGCCTCGGTCAGATAAACTTACCCATAGGCCCCCAAGAAGGTTTCGTTTTATGGTTTATATTTAGAATCCTTATTATAAGGAAATCCCAAAAAGCAACTACTTAGGGGCCTATGGGTAAAACCCTAAAGCCGTGAAACCCCAAACCGAGTCCGGGTTCTCGAGACAGTTGCCCCTAAACGCGCCTGGATGGTACGCTTTGAGACCTCAAGCCTGCTGTATTGCCGTGTCCCAAAAAAACAGAGATTTCGACTCTTGCGAAAACCTTACGACTCCGTCTGAAACCTTGGAAACCCTCAGCCCTAAACCCTAAACCCTGAACCCTAAACCTTGGAAACCAAACCCTGGAAACCCTCATGAAAGCCCCTAGCCTTCTGCCAAGACGCAGTCCGAACATCTGCGGCACCTCCAGGGGGAATCGCTCCTCGATGTACTTGACGTAGTGCGAGTACTCAAGCTTGCTGGCATCCTTGGCGTGTTAGGGTTTAGGGATTGTTGGGGTCTTGGGGGGTTTAGAACCCAAGGCTTTTAAGTAGTGTTGACTTGTTTTGTGTGTTCAGAGCTTTATAAGTCTTGCGTTTGAGGGTTTAGGGCTTATAGGATCGAACAGCGAATGAGGAATGCAACTTGAATCACAAGCCCTGAACTCTCAAACTTAACCCACCAGAAACCTACTTTGTTGGTAGGGTCCCTGTGAATTACATAGTAGGGTTTGTACTAGGAACCCACAAAAAAGTAAGTTTTGGAGGTTAAGGTAGTGACCTCACAGCGCACCCTGCCCAAATTTCGTTTAACTACTTGGATGCCTGGCAGGTGGATCCTTAGTTTCATGGATGTTGGGCATGCTGAGACGGTTTGGGCTGATTGCTCGGATTTTCGGATTCGCCTTCTCGATTCATGACTGGCGTGCTTTGGAGTTAAGTTGGGATTTCATGGCCGTGCGTCCAAGGAAATGTGACCCTAATGCACAAGACGAGCCATAAACCTCAAGCATCCCAATCATCAAGAGGCAGACCTCTAAATCAAGAGCCTTACTCAAAAGCCCTCAAACCCTAAACCCCTAAACCCTTAAACCCTAAACCCCTCAGCCCTAGACCCTAAACCCCTAAACCCCTAAAATCCCGAACGGCCTCTTTATGCTCGACATCCTAAGCCCAAGACTCTCAGCCTAAAACACGACCCTAAGGCTGCTCCTGGGGTTTAGGGGTTTAGGGTTTAGGGGTTTGGAGGGTTTAGGGTTTAGGGGTTTAGGGCTTAGGGGGTTTAGGGCATTGGGGTTTAGGGTTTAGGGGTTTAGGGGTTTAGAGGGTTGAGGGCTCAGGGGGTTTAGGGTTTAGGGTTTAGGGGATTTAGGGCTTAGGGGGTTTAGGGGGATTAGGGGGTTTAGGGGGTTTAGGGGGTTTGGGGGTTTTGGGGTTTAGGGTTTAGGGCCCATTGGACCAAAAGTGAAACGAATCCAAAAATACGTAACGAGTAGGTCGACGCTATTCCCCAAAGGGTCCTAGGTTCTGTTATGGGGGATACTTTCCCAAATCATAATAACAATTCCTAGTATAGAAACCCTACATTCTACTATATAGGTACTCTGGACCCTTTGAGTTCTACTACATGCAAATAAAGCCCCCACTCCTAAGCAGAAGCCAGCTTATTTGATTTACTTGTTTATGTAATTATTCCTTCATACCTATTTATTTCTCTGTTTATTAAAACCCTAATTGATTCGCGCTTTGTTCGAAACTCAGGCTTTTTCCACAACCCACGTTTTAGCGGTGTTTCTGCAAATGGTGCCTGTGTAGCGGTTTTTTTCTGCAAATGGTGGCTGCTTAGCGGCTTTTCTGCAAGCCGTCAATCCGGGTGTTCCGCAGATGGTGACTGCTTTGCAAGAGGCACGGCAGGGCAGGGCACGGACCCCGGGTTTTTTAGCTCCGGGCTTCGGCCTTAAGAGATTCGGCCTTATAGGGTTTTCGACACCCTTAACCCAAATCCCTAAACCCTAAACCCTAAACAGGGGTTCGGGCTGAGGATTTCGGGCTTAGGGTTGCGGCCTAAGGGGCTCGGCATTAGGGTTGCGGCCGTAGGGGTTCGGGCGCTGGGGATTTCGGGCTTAAGTTTTTTGGGGCCTTAGAGTGCTTTTTGGGAGTTGGGGTTTGAAGGCTTCGGGGCTTAGAGAGGATGATGTGTATGCTCTTAATTTCTTAATGTTGTCGGATTCTTCGGGCGGGTTGTTCTTGTGATAGATCCAAAACGGCTAGCTTGGCTAGTGACTGCTCGATCCGCAGCTGCTGAACCCCTAACCCTAAACTCAATCCTAAACCCCATTAACCCCTAACCCCAAACTCTAAATCCTAAACCCTAGTGGACCCCTAACCTTAAACTTGGAACCCTAGCCCCGAATTAAACCCTGAAGCCCAAACTACAAATCCTAAACCCTAATTCACCCCTCACCCTAAGCCCTCAATAACCCCCTCATGTAGTGGCCTTAATAATTAGAATAGGCTTTTGGGGCCCATTTTCTATAACTAAAATAAGGAACCCCCAAAATAGTATTGGTAATCATTTAGGCCCCTATATAACCCTAAACCCTAAACCCTCTCTCGCCAGGCCACTGGAGATTTGAAGCCGGGTGCCAGGTTTCCGCCGGCCAAGAGCTCTGGCGTAACCAGCACCGCCAGGTAGGTGTTGTTCACCTTTAGGGTTTAGGGTTTAGGGGGTTGTTCACCTCTCAGGTTCTCTATGTGTGGGTTTAAGGGTTTAGGGTCAGGGTCTGTATGTGTGTGTATATATAAGTATGTATGCATACATACATGTAAATGAATGTATATCTATGGATGTGTGTGTATGTGTGAATATGCTCTGTCTGTGTGTGTGTTGTGCTTCTTCCGATGACGGCTCTCCTTTGCGGTTTCGAGGGGTTTCATCTGATGAACGGGTAAGGCTCCATGCTTAGCCCTCAAGCGGAAACCCCGCGAACAAACCCAAAAAGGCCTTGCCGTCAAGGCTAAAGCGCTTCGAAAGCTTTGCCCTAGCCCCGACAACTCCAGGCCTTTGGGTTCAGTCTCTAGGCCTTTTTAGGGTTTAGGGTTTAGATGCCCTCAGCTCTACACGGTGAAGCCAACACCCCAAACCCATATCCCAAGATTCACTCGCAAACTCAGATCCTTCCCCACTGGTCGAGGCCTAAACCATCGAAAAATCTTCACTTAAGGCCTAAACCATCGAAACATCTGCACCTAAACCCTATAATCGCTATAAACCCTCAGTAGATCCTCCTCGAACCAACCCTCAACTCAGCGTCGGACACGTCGGTCCCACGGATCCTGGGCGCATTGCTCGCTTTTGGGGTTTAGGGCCGTGGCGCTGTAGGGCTTAGGCTTACCCTGCGGCTCCAAATAGCCCAAAGTAGGTCCTATTTATAGACTTTATAGGACCCAAAGTAGGTACCATTTGCATACTTGGAGCCCTTGGGTTAGGATTAGGGCTCAGGGCTTAAGCCTTCTCTCCGGGACCACAAAGAAATCATAGTGAGGATCCCTAGTTGCGTAGGTTCTTTCTGCAGGTGGTTGAGGAGTTTGGGGCGTGGCTTTTGGCGATCGGAGTTCTTTGGATTGGTTGGGGCTTACATAGCTTTTTGCTTACCTTCAAGCCTCCAGCAAGTTCAGAGCACACAGGCCCGAGTGTGCGGCCGGGGGCGAGGTTGCAATGCAGGCACCTATACCGGCGCCGTTAGAATCAGAATAGGCGTTGGTGGGATATTGTGGCATCTCTTCCCCCCAATAGTTACTCCCTTACAACATACCAAACTGGCACACCACCTACGAAACTGCCTCAAAATCCCCTTCATGAGCCCTCAATCGCGAACGACGCCTCTCCCTACATGTTCGGACAGGAATCGGTGATGTGGCCGCCGTACATGATCTCGCCGAAAATGTATCGCAGATCGGGCCACGGAACCTGCAGAAAGAGTGGAATCGGAGGATTGCAGGGCTGTCTTCAGGCAATATGGTGCTTCATAGAGTTTTATAGGGGTTGTCGATGGAAGAAAAGCAGTGCCCAAGATCAGTTCTCATTCATTCATGCAGCTGTTGGCTGTGGGGTTTTGCTCGGGGCAACACTTCCTGAATCACCATCGACACATGCCAGTCTATAAAATTCTTAGTGCTTAGGACGTGGGGAGTCGTCCGACACACTGCGTCAAACTTTTTCTGGTAGCGGGGGTTCCTTTAAGCAGCCGTGATATCCGATACACAATGGCAGCTGCATGTTTTCATCGTGATTTCGATGTCAGATCGATACGACCAGTGCATTGGATCAGAAGGATATAGTCATTTTACTTCGCATCCAGGTCACCGGCCGAATTTACTCAAACTATCTACCGATCTATCTGCCCCCTCGCGTCCGCATGTATGTGCATATTCTTGATATGTGTGTGTGTGTGTATGTATGTGTATATATATATATGTGTATATATATATATGTATATATAGCTAGCTAGCTACCTACCTACCACCTGCCTGCCTGCCTGCCTGCCTACCTACCTACGTACGTACAGACAGACAGACAGACAGACAGACAGACAGACAGACAAACATGTACGCACGTACAGAAACATATGCATACATATGACTGTATATGGATACACTATGCATGTGTATATGTGTATACATACATATATATATGTGTATATATATATACATATCCGACAGGGTGGCGGCGCTTGTGCCGGGGGAGTTGAAGAACTGCGTGGCCCCTCGAGACCTTCGCGACCGCACCGACCGTGCACGACCTTTGGTGATCAGCGCCCCCCCTGCTGGTTGGCAGGCACTGCCCCCCTGGATCGCGCGGCTTCATCCCGTCCTCACGTCGCGCCTGGTGCTCCCTGCCCCGGTGCTCCAGTTGTTGTGGTGGGCTCCGCAATGGAAGACAACAAGCACGCTGAAGCTATCGCCATCGCACTATGCAGACCCTAAGCCCTAAACCCCTAAACCTAAACCCCTAAACCTCTAAACCCCTAAACCCTAAACCCTAAACCCCTAAACCATAATAACTGATCAAAAAACCATATACCTTGGAGCCGGGAGCCTGCTCCTCTGAAACTGAAACGAGACTTCGCCCCGACACCCCAGGGAGTCCCGGAAACAAGTGCCTTTTCCAAAGGGTCCTAGGTACTGTAATGGGGATACTTTCCCAAATCATAATCACAATTCCTAGTATAGAAACCCTACATTCTACTATATAGGTACTTTGGACCCTGTGGG